TACTTTCAAATGAATGTCCCTGACACATATTAATTAATTTCACTGTCCCTGTGTGATCCAAATGTCAGTTGCTCCATTGAAATTTTATGAGCAACCGTTCGTAAAACGGTTGCTGGCTATGGCTCATTTCAAGGGTTAGTTGGAGAGGTAAATGGAACTTTGCAATGGAATCTTCTTTTTTTTTTTTTAAGATTTTATTTATTTATTTGAGAGAGTGTGTGTGTGCACATGAGCAGCGGGGAGGAGCAGAGGGAGAGGGAGAAGCAGACTCCTGCTGAGCAGGGAGCCTGATGTAGGACTCCGTCCCAGAACCCTGAGATCATGACCTGAACTGAAGGCAGCTGCTTAACTGACTGAGCCACCCAGGCATCCCTAAACAGAGTCTCTTATGTGCAGAAATGTTATACAATCCCACATGCGTTTTCAGGCCGGGAAATGCTCTCTAACCCTTCCGTGCCACAGACCTTTGCGTTCAGGGGCAGCCTGATGAGGGTATAGGGCTCTGATGAACCCTGCTTTGAATAATGTTTTTATTTTTTAATTAATTAATGAATTTTTTAAAAGTTTTCTAAGTAATCCCCACACCCAACATAGGACTTGAACCTACAACCCTGAGATCAAGAGTCACCCGCTCTACCAACTCAGCCAGCCTGGTGCCCTGAACAGTGTTTTTAAATGCATGAATTAAACACATAGGATGGCAACCAATAACACTGAAATAAAGTTATCAAAATATTTTTGAAAAATCTGTGGAGGAGGAAGGTATATCGTGCACTACCTCTTCATGAAACAACGAGATCTGACAACCCCCAGAATTTCAAAGCAGTGCTGAGATGTCCGTGGCAGCCGTACTGTGGGCAGCTGATTGTCCCTGGGGACGGACTCCTAAGTGCTTCTAGTATTCCTGTGGGGTTTTGCCTGTCTTCGTAACTGGGGGGAATGTTGTATTTCAGTTAGAGAGCAAGGAGACTAAAGATCAGGCTCACAGAGTCCTGTGACTCTTATCCGTGGATCCAAGGGTAAGAACACCTGGTCTGAAGATTTCTAGAAGAGACTGGAAATCCTTGTTTGTCTGCCTGCCAGGTGCCGCAGGGTGTGCCTCGAGGAAAGGGATGGCGAAGAGCCAGTGACAGACAGGTGGGCACTTCCCCCACATCCTCATCCCATCTGTTCCGTTTGTCTGGGCTTCTTGGGTCTTCTCTTGTCTTCCTGAGCTTCCCTGTCGCCCTGAAGTGAAATCCAAACGAGTCGATTCTCTTTATCAGCAGCTATTCTGATTTGGTTTTGTTTGTTGGAGGGATTCTCTCTGGTTTGATTTCTAAATATAGTCTCTAGGGGCACCTGGGTGGCTCAGTCCGTTGAGCATCCGGATCTTGGCTGCTGCTGAGGTCATGATCTCAGGGTTCTGGGACTGAAACCCGCGGTGGGCTCCGCGCTTAGTGTGGAGTCCATTTGAGGAGTCTCTCCCTCTTCCTCTGCCCTTCCCCCTGCTCCTTCTCTCTCTAAAATAAATGGATGAACCTTTTAAAAAAACATATCATCTGGTTATAGAGGAGGCTGAAACTGCTCATTATCTGGGGGTTCTTTCCCTCATGCTTCAGTTAAAACAGATAATTGGGCTTTAAATGTGGATAGAGGTTAAAAATACCAAACATCAGCCTCTGTCAAAGGTTGTGAAGTAGACTTAAAAAAAAAAAATCCGGGACGCCTGGGTGGCTCAGTTGGTTAAGCAGCTGCCTTCGGCTCAGGTCATGATCCCAGCGTCCTGGGATCGAGTCCCACATCGGGCTCCTTGCTCGGCGGGGAGCCTGCTTCTCCCTCTGCCTCTGCCTGCCATTCTGTCTGCCTGTGCTCGCTCTCTCTCTCTCTGACAAATAAATAAAAAATCTTAAAAAAAAAGAATAAAAAAAAAAATCCCCTCCCTCCACCTTTTTTTTTTTTTTTTAAGATTTTATTTATTTATTTGACAGACAGAGATCACAGGTAGGCAGAGAGGCAGGCAGAGAGAGAGGGAAGCAGGCTCCCTGCTGAGCAGAGAGCCCGACGTGGGGCTCGATCCCAGGACCCCGAGATCATGACCCGAGCCGAAGGCAGAGGGTTTAACCCACTGAGCCACCCCCTCCACCTTTTTTAACCTCGTCTTTTCTTGGCTTCTCAAACGCTGAATCCTCCTGGACGTCTCTTGCTTTCCTGCCTCTGTGTTGGTCCCTTCTGAATCCCTGTCCGTTTCGCTCTCTACCAACGGAGAAATACTCCCCATGTTAGGCTTTGGGCTTTCTCTCTTCATTTTTTCCCCCTGATGATCTCTCCCGATCCTTGGTCTATTTGATCTGCCTCCTTCCCATGTTCCTTGTCCTTTTCAATGGATCCGCCCCACACCCCCATCCTTCCAGTTGTTCCGATTTCAGGGACACTCAGCAGAGATTCTTTGGTTACTTCCTGTGCCCTGAGCAATAGGTTAGGTTAGGTTAGGCACTAGGGCTACAATACTGAGCCAGTGCCTTCCTGCACCCCGCCATCTATCAGGGAAAGTCAGCCTTGAACAAGTAATTTCAAGAGGGAATAGGTTGGAGCGGGAATAGCCGGTCATGCAAGGCTTGGTCATAAGGGAGAACTAGCCTAGTTGGGGGGGTGGAGAGGGTGCGGGTAGGGAAGTCTCTCAGAAGAAGTAATATTTAAATCAGGACCGTGTTGGTTAGTGGAGACACAGCAGCATGGGGGTGGTGACTGGGAAGATCTGCGTGAAGTGTCTGGTGTGGCTTTGGTGTAAAGTTGAAAGAGGGCATTTGAGTTCAGTGAGGCTAAGAGGAGGCAGGACTGGACTGGTTGTAAACACTTGCCAACCATCTTCGGGGGCTGGGGTGGGCATCACCCTAGGGACACTGGGGTGTAAGGTTTGTAACCAATGTAAGGTTTACATTGTTAAATGATTACCCCGAGTACCGTATGGACCACAGTTGGGAGGGGCCAGAATCCGGTAAGGAGACCGTGGAAGATGGTTATGGTCGCCCCCTTAAGAGACCATGTGTCAACCCTACAGGAAAATCTCAGTCACCCTTGGCTCCTGCCTGTTCGTCCTTCACCTTTTCATCAAGCCCATCAAACACTGAATCTTTTCAGATTCGGTTCCTAAAACCGCATTGACTTCACGCCTCTTCTTATTCCCACTGACTGAATTCAGATTTCTCATTTACCTTCCTGAGGTGGCTCAGCCATGTCTACGCTCTACCGGCTTTTCACTTCCGGGTCTCCTTTTCCTTCTTCGGTGGCAGGCAGTGGGCCTGCAGGTGAACCCCGGGTGTACTCGGCTGCTCCCAAACGCACCAAAGAGAAGCCCAAGCTAGGGTGTGGGCTCTCCTGATGCCGTCTGTCCTTTCTGCCAAGACAAGCTCCTGTCCCTCCTGCCTCACCTCTCCTAGGCTCACCTCAGAAATATCCAAGGATCCAGTTTGGCAGGCTCCTTCCTCTACCTAGACCTGTCCTCTCCAGCTCATCTACAGACACATTTCAAGTCCCTCCTCCAATTTCCCATGCCCCCAAGCCTCAACCAGAATTAATCTCTCCTTCCTACCTGTGCACAGTCGTACTTTGGATGATGCATTATCTAATTAAACTTCCTACTCCTGTTTCACTGCTGCATAGAGCCTGCCTCCCGTTTGAATTATTATGTATGAGATAGGCTCGCTCTCCAGATTGTAAATTCCAGAGGACTAGGGATATTTGTCACAGTCATTTCCATGCTGCCTGACCTCTGCTTATCAGACCTCAACAAACGTTAAATTTGATTGCGGATGGCAGCGGGATGATTGGGAACCCCAAATCGTGGAAGTCTCCGGGTCACACACCCAACCCCATTCTAGTTGTGATAGTCATCAAATGCACAAGAACTAAAAAAAAATTTTTTTTTTTTTTCTAAGACTATTGCTTTTGTTTCTAAAATTGCTAAATGGGACAAGTCTCATTAGGAGAAACAGCTAACGGTTTTAGTGAGGAGTGCCAGGTTCCCTGTTGGAAGTTGAAATTCATTCTTTAGGAATTTCTTGAGCCCTGATTATGTTCCCATCACAGTGGAGGCATAGCCACGAATGAAACAGATCTCTATACTGGGAGCATTTACAGGTGTGCAGTTTTCCATCAAGAGTTGCAGGATAATTTCCATTTCTGAAATGGGGGGAAAAATAGTTCAGTCCTTTATTTAAATATTATGTGTCCCCTGGCTAACTCAGGAGTGAAAACCACACTGTCTTCACCTGCATACTGACCAGAAACAGGACAGTGGATGTATTGTTAATATGCACGAGAGTATCAAAGGACAAAACACATTTATTGGGACGCTTTTGTTGTATCTTATTTAAGTTTTGATTATTGTGATTATTTTATCCATTCCTTATCACCCACTTTGTTAAAATCCTCCCACAGGCAGGTTTTGAATGTTTCCTCATATCATTTTATGCTTTGGGGCTGGGAAGCATCAGTAGATACTAAGCAATAATAATAGTATGTATTATTTTTATTTTCCAGTAGTAAAAACTCATAATATTTCAGTTTCAAAATTAGTTCTATATACGCCCAACCTTGTCCTAGAAATGAGGTATGCGAAATGTAACTTATGGCCGAAAGTAGCTCGCAGAAGTGCTCTTGTATGTAAGAATTGCATGGCTATAGGAAAAAAAGGAATATATTACTAGAGGAAGTTGCTTGTGTAGGAAGCTCTGAATTTTTTTCAAAGCTAGTCAGAAACTGGACTTTAGGACATATGCAGTGATTTTCTGAAATATGAGCAAAACCTGGAGAAAACCAGAGCATCTAAATCCTCACAGTTGGGAAGTTTAGCAGAGGGGACATGTAGGAGGCCTCTGGCAGAAAATGTAAATAATGAGGAACGTGTCTATTCGAAAAAAGTAGAGTATGTTCCAGATGTCTCTGTATGCATGTATAAAGATCTGTGGCTTCAAATTTGACTAGATTTTGTTTGTTTGTTTTTCAAAATCTTTTCTAAGAATTGCCCTGGTGGAAAATATTCCTGAAGGCCTTAACTATTCAGAAAATGCACCATTTCACTTATCACTTTTCCAAGGCTGGATGAACTTACTCAACATGGCCCAAAAGTCTGTTGACATAGTGTCTTCCCATTGGGATCTCAACCACAGTCATCCATCAGCATGTCAGGTAAGCTGCATCCTCTCTGTGTGTGATGATTTTACTTACGTGCATCTCCCGCGCCTTCCTGTTTCTTGCCTTCACTTCTCCAGTTCAAGGTCTCTTTTTCAGTCTACCTCCCCCACCCACGGTACCCGTACATCATCGCGTTCATGTGTATGTGCCTTCGTTGATCACGTGTCTGCTCAGCTCCTGCTAGAACACCAGGTTTTCAAGGGCAAACTCATGTTTCGTCTGTGCATACTCTAGGCTCTCTGTTGGTTTGGATCATTGTAGGGGACGCTGTTCACACCATGGTATCCGTTGACAGCACGCCCGGAATTCTGCTTTGCTCCATCTGCATGCTCATGGCATGAACCCCATGCCTGCTTGCCGAGGCATTTATGTGGTTAATATTTCACCTGGAGGACCCAGAGCCAACTTTTTTTTTTTTTTAATAGTGGAATCGAACTTCCCATTATACTTGTATATTCTTGGCTCTGTCCCATTTGAGTGAAGAGAGAGAAATGTGTTAATTCCAAGAACAGCCTTGAGAAGTCTGCTGAAATGATCTAAATGATTTCTGAAAGAAGTGTCCTGGAGATAGGAAAGGGATCCTGGTTCTCTTTAGCAGTTTTTTGTTTGGTTTCTTGTAATTTGTGCTGGTATGATCACAAGAACGTTAAGCTACCCAGGCTCTTCTACCCAAGTTTTCCAGCACTGGTCTGCACATACATGTCCTGTCTGGGTCACGGAGAAAATCAGTTCTGTCACCGTATATAAAATGTGTTGGCACTAAGCCTATAATCACTACCTCATTGGTGCTTTCAAACCTTTCATTCAGTTGTACTATTTTAAAATCAAAGGAAATTAGAAAATAGGTTTTAAAAAAAAAACACCAAAACTCACAAAGGCCATACTGAAGAAGAAAATAAATTTACTAATTGTGTTCTGCACTTTTCTCCCTTCCCTGTTTATGCAGGTAGGTCAGGTGTTTGCTGCTGCATAGATCATTCCAAAATGTAGTGGGATCATGATTCTGGGTGGCGTTCAGCAGAGAGAACTCATCTTGGATCCACATCGTGCTGTTTGGGGCAGGATGGAAGGTCTGGGGGCCACCCGGACCTCTCTCTGCATATGTCTCTCATCATTCCATAAGCAAGCCTGAACTTGGGGTGCTTTAAGGGAGTGGTTATATTGTAAAAGGCCCAAAGCAGAAAGTATGAGGCCTTTTAAGATGTGGGCTCTGGGATCACAGCTGCTTCTATCCCATTCTATTGCTCGAAACAGGTCATGATTCAAGGTGGGAGGAGTAGCATCTATACAGGAGTAAGAAGAGTTGCTGGAAGGCCTCTTTGGAAATTATATGCCATAGTCCACTCTGGCCATCGCAATCCAGATCTCTTCCACTTACTAAATGCAATCCTCACCGCCCTCCCCCATTACAGCAAAGGCTCAAAGTTCAGGGACTCCTCCTCTGCACCAGGTCTGAATCGGGTTGAGCCTCCTCGTAGGGGCTTTTCTTGATTTAGAAACCTGTGAATTAGAAGACAAGTCCTATGTCTCCCAACACACACACCTCTAACACACACAGACCTCTAACGGGGAGGCAGGTTAAGATAACCATAGTACACACTTTGGTTTAAGTGGTGGGGGTGGGGATGGAGAGCACAGACCAGTCCTGAGCCCATAGCAGTTTTGAAATCCAGCCCAGCCCAGCACGCCAGGATTCCAAGCTCAGAGAACTGGGAATGCTGCTGGTCTAGGATCTAGTTCTGCTCCCTGGGGGTGCTTTCCTAATCTGTGAAGCTCTTTGCTCCCCTCTGTGTTGTTCTTTCTTTTCCATAAGAAATAGCCCGTGTTTGCTTCTGACTGTCTTAGCTGGCTTCCTGCTGGTAGAAACTGAGGCCCCAGAGGACCTCTGTTCATTTTAAAGCAGCTCTGTCCTTTTTTTTTTTTTTTTTAAACAAAATGGTACAATCCCTTCAGCCTTTGTAGACTTAATTTGTATCCAGTCATAAACCACTCTGGTAGCAAAAACCCTGACCCCAAACTCTTGGCAGTGGGTGTCCTCTGCTTTGGACTGTGATTCAGGATGCTTTAGGACCTGCCCCTTATAAAGTTTCTGGGAGCTCTTCATCTGGCCAAGGGGGCCTGTGAACCACCCACCATTTTCAGTCTTTCTGAAACCTTGACAAAGAATCTTTCTGCCACCACTGTCATTTTGTCTTTACCCTGAGGCTCTTTCTTCCTTGGAGAGTATTTTGTTGAATCGGGAGAGTCTTCTAGATTCTCGACATTTTCTCATACTTCTGCATGAAAACAGAACAGTGCTTCTTACCATAGACCACTAACACTTTGATAACCTGCCTGAACAATCCTCTTAGCCAGGTCCCCAAACCCATTAGACACCCTTGCTGTTTTCTGCTTTAGAGCAGGTGGCAATGTTGCCAGGTAGTCCACTCTCACTCCCTCGAGGCTCCAGATCCATTTCTTTCCTGTTCCTCCAGCCTTGAGTGGGAATGAGATTCCAGCATCCACAATCACCCAATCCCAAAGACTGTGTCATGTGGCTTATGTTTTTGCTACACTAGATATGTTTCCTTAATCCGCTGTGGCAAGACGAGCAACTCCAAAACTTACCGAGTATTATTTCTTATGATTCCGTGAGCAGGACACACAGTTTGTGCCCCAGTAGGTATTGGCTGAGACCACTCATGCGGTTGTGTTTGGCTGGGATAGTGGCTGAGTCTGGGCTGGCTCTCTGGGGACTGGCCAGCTCTCGTTCACCCCAAGTGGACACTCATCACTCAATAAGCTAACCCTGGCTTTCTAGCGGGCTGCTGGATCCCAAGAGGATAAGAGTGAAAACTGCAGGACCTCTGAATTCCTGGGCTCCTAGAATATGACTTTGGCCGCATTCTGTTAGCCAGAGCAAGTTCACAAGGTCAGCATCCCATGTCCAGGGGAGGGGCAAGAGAGTCTAGGAGAAGCACGCCAGTTCAGGAAAGGGAGATTGTTGGCAGCAAACTCAAAACAGTTTATCATCGCAGTTTTGATGGTGTAAGTGGGAGGTAGTTCAAGTTGTCTTTCCTTTGTCCGGGACAAGACCAGCTCATTCCACCGAATTTAGCAAGAACTGCAAGCTTTGGTTTGACTCACTGAACCGTGCCCTATGCTGGGGCCTAGACCTGCACAGGTGTCCATGCTGTGTGGACCCCAGGCTGTCAACCTCATGGGCATCCCTGAAGAGCTGTGGGGTGCCAAACACACAGGGGGAAGATTGGCATTTACTCTTGGACTTGGTGACCCAGTAGAACTCTTTTCTGAAATGCGGTGCCCCCGGAATGATGGATTTTTCTCCCCAGCTACAAAGTGATCTTTGCTAACAGGCTTTATTTTTCCCAGTGACTACTATTTCTCTCTGACTCTGCCCTCAATCTCGGTTCGCTTCCAGGATTTCTGTAATCAGTCTAGACTGGGAGTTGATGTAGCTTGGGGGTTCCCGGGGAACCTACAGTATTGCTCAGGGCAGCCATTAAATCCATTTGCAGGATTCAGGTTGATTCTGGGACTGAGTCAGTAAGCGAAGCATCTGGTAGTCCAAGCAGGTGGCTCTGGGGACTGCGGCATGGTAGTTCAAACCAGTGGAACAGGGGCGCTCACATGGCTTTACGGAGAAGTAGAGTCCCTGGATGAAGGGTATAGATGGACATCAGTCTCAAAAGCGACCTGAGGACTTCTGGCCTCTCCTTGCTTTTACCCTAATCCTTCAGGGGTGGGCCAAACTCTTGCCACTCAAAGTTTGGCCCTGGGACCAGAAGCATCTTTATTCCCTGGAACCTTATGAGAAATGCAGGATTCACCCCAGCCCCACCTGATTCAGGATCTCCATTTCAATGAGATCCCAAGCTGATTCCTATGCTCAGAAATGTCTGAAATGTTCTGAACTACCCCTTTTGGCCATAAGGCCAGCCAGCCCTCCTCGGCACTCACGCTATGGGGTAGAAGATGGGCCACAGAAAGGCTGGGTCCTAGTTCATGGTCAGAATTCTGTTCTGCCCAGGGAGCATGAATGAGGGTCTGGGTCTGCTTTGAATAACAGTGCCAGGTGTGACGCTGGGTGCGTCCTAGGTGCTCAGGAGATATTTGCCCAATACTCGAATGGATTGTGTCCAACAAAACAGAGCCAGACACTGGTTAACGTTCTAAGGACAGATTTGAAACGGGATGTATTTTCGCAAAAAGGAAGAGGGCCCGAGTGAACTGAACTTCAGAACTCAGATTTGTACACAGATGATGGAACATTTTTTTAGGGAGAATGAGGGAATGGGGTGGGGGACAGCAGGGGCTTAAACTGGACCAGGGAAGTAGAGGTTTATAAAAAGTGGGGAGGGGGGTTGGTCCATAGGAAGCCCATCTGGGGTTTGCTAACTGGTGCTTATCAAAGTTAGGTTCCTCGCCTCCCACCGAGACTGGGAGACAGAGGCCCTCTGGTCAGGTGTTGGCGGGAACAAACAGCAACTTCTTTTGGGCCTTTTTGAGCTTTCTGAAGTGGGCACCTTAAGGGGGCGGGGTCATCCTGGGGCGTGGCCTTGAGCTGTTAAAAACTGTTAGCATTTTGTTCAGGCCTTTTAAATGAGGGAGGGGAGGGACCTCTGGGCGGATGGATGAGATCCTTTGTGCTGAGAGCCCACAGTTTTTACAAAGCAAGGTCGAGCCCAGGGGAAGAAGAGGGCTCAGAGGGAGCCTGGCTGGAGTTCGGTCAAGAAGAGAATATCTGTAGGTCGCGTGGCTTCAGGTGGGCATTACTCTTGTGGAAAGAAGACTGCGCCTGGAAGCTTCGTTCGGGTCACTCCAACAACCTGCCTCCTGGCCACAATGGAATTTTTCAATTTACTGCCAATAACCTGGCTGTGATTGAGCTCACACCCACCCCTGCAGGAAGGAGCCCGGCTAGAACTGAGGTCTTCTGGTAGGGCCCTAGGGCTCTCTCCGAGGAGACGCCTCTTGGCTGCCCCTCGGACTTC